CCTAACCCTAACCCTAACCCTAACCCTAACCCTAACCCTAACCCTAACCCTAACCCTAACCCTAACCCTAACCCTAACCCTAACCCTAACCCTAACCCTAACCCTAACCCTAACCCTAACCCTAACCCTAACCCTAACCCTAACCCTAACCCTAACCCTAACCCTAACCCTAACCCTAACCCTAACCCTAACCCTAACCCTAACCCTAACCCTAACCCTAACCCTAACCCTAACCCTAACCCTAACCCTAACCCTAACCCTAACCCTAACCCTAACCCTAACCCTAACCCTAACCCTAACCCTAACCCTAACCCTAACCCTAACCCTAACCCTAACCCTAACCCTAACCCTAACCCTAACCCTAACCCTAACCCTAACCCTAACCCTAACCCTAACCCTAACCCTAACCCTAACCCTAACCCTAACCCTAACCCGCACACACGCGCTCAACCATACAAATTGGCCATGGCAGATGGTCGCACCCTACGCTCCGGCAAAACACGCCCAGCGCTCGTGCACATCACGAAAAACGTGGTCAAACACACTGCTTAACGGCAATAAGTCCATGCTGAAAAGATGCGGCGCTTCACAGCAGTTGTGCCTCACTGTCTGCGTAAACTGCGAGACGGCCCTCCACACAACAAACGCACACACCGCCAGCAGTCACACACAATGGACGGGGAAGAGAAGAGACACACCGCCACCGCCTCCCGTTCAATCCCACGGCAACGAGATACAGCCACAGCCCGCTGCCTGCACACAACGCACACGGAGCGAGCAATCACCCAATGAGCAACACGCAGAAGCGATTCCTCATCCATCCATGACGCGGCAACAAAATTTCCAGAAATTTCACCCACAATGGGATTTGGTGCCCGACTCAAAGCGGTCATAGGTGGCGCATCACGCCTGCAGGAAAAGTGGCTCGCCGTTCGCTCCCTCTCTCCTCTCCTCGCTTCATGCCCACAGAAAGAGGCGGCAGCCACCCGCACGCACTAAAAAAAAGCATCCAAATCGACTGCAATGTGCATTTTGTGTGGTTGTGTGTGCCTGCAGACACACGAAGCAAAGAAGTAAAAGAGGAGCAGAGCATGTGAAGGAACGCACAAACAAAAATGTACAGCAGAGGTGCGTGGCAGAAATAAAGAGAAAAAGGCTGCTCAAGCTCATGATATTGCACTGCAGACAAAGCAGCGGCAATTCATACAAGATTTATTTAAAATAATTAGAAAAAACAATTCCCTTTCATCATATATTAACCCCCCTCGCACAAAATAATTATATAAAAAAAACAAAACTCGTCCTCTATTACTGTTCCACACACACACAAATGAAAAAAAAAAGAAAAGAAAAACCACAAAAAAAAAAAAAATTCACCTGGTTGCCGTGTGCTCTTACCAAACTTTTTGTATATTTTGCCCGCAAATTAAAAATTAAATAGTTAAATGTTTTTCAACCGTCTGACCCTCTGTGTGTTCGCACATCGTCTATATTTCATGGGGTCATCTGCGTGTTGCTGCTCCCCTCAGCCCTCTCATCGGCGTGCGAGTGCGGCCCGCAGAGCACAGTCACTCGTGTGTGTGCGGGGACTGAGAGAAGCACGCAAACACAACGGGAGTCGCGTCACTCCATCGGGAGAGTGAGCGTAGCAAAAAAAAACGCAAAAAAAAACTTAAAGAAGCGGCAGGTTGTGGCTGTGTGTGTGGCGCTACGAGTGTCTGCCCGCCCTGGCCGCAAAAAAAAAAAAAAAGGAAAGAAATGTGTGCTCCGCCCCACCGGCCCTCGTCGCACGCCCACACGTCACGGCTCCCTCAGCGCGCCGTTCGTCGCGGCCCTCCTCATGCGTGCATCAGGCGAGGCGCGCAGGGCCGTCGTCATGAGCGTGTCGGTGGGTGTGCAAGTGGAGCAGTTGGGCGGGAAACACACGGCACCCCTCACAGGAAGAGTGCAGCAAGAAACAATTAAAAGAGGGAAGAGTAGAAAAGAAAAAAAATTAAAAGCCGAAAAAAAAAAACGCTCATAGTGGTTGCCCTAAATCAGCAAGGGAAAAATGAAAAACATTAAAAGAAAACAAAAACAAATTATTCTCCTCGGCGTAAAATATATTCCTAGCGGTGTGTGTGAGTGTCGGTGCAGGGGTTGGGGCGCAAGTGTTCCACGCTGAGGCCGCAAACTCCTCACGCAGCCGCAAAGCCCCACAGCCCCAGCAGAAGCAGAAGCAACGATGGCAGCAGTCCGCTCCCAGCAGAATTCAAGCTCACCTCTTGCACAACGAATTGTACGCCCTCAGTCCAAGAGGTATTCTTCTTTGCCGCTCCACCCTCACTCACTTCTTTAACTGCATGGGGGTTCAATGTCATGGGCACCGCTGGAGCTGCGGAATTTTTCTCTGGGCCAGACACAGCAGATGCGATGGTTTGAGGAACATCTCCCGCTTGTGGTTCCGGAGCTCTCGTCCAAACGGGTTTCCTGTCCTTGATTGCAGTCATCTCAGTGGAATTCAGTGGGCGGTTGTACAGAAAGACGTTCTTCACCGTCACAGGAGAGTTGTGAATTTCGCACGCGCCAAAGCAAAAGACTGCGAGCTCAAGTGGTCTCTCAGCTGTTAACAACGTTTCCTCTTCTCCCAGCGACTGGCCATCAATGTACACAGAGGCCTTGTTGCCTTGCAGCATGAGTGCCACTTGGTATTCTTTCCCCGACTCCCAAGTGCCACTTTCTGTTGTCTTGTCGTTGAACATCGTCACCCACTTTTTATCCGCGGTATACAAGATTCCCATGGTAAGCGGGGAATTAGCGTCCCCCAACGTCGCACCCAGTAGAGGAGTGTTATTACTCGGAGCCACTTCGATGGTCACCGACGCCACAAGTGTGAGGTTGTGGCTCAAAAACACATGACGCACATTATCACCCCGAGTGTTCGCGGGCCACATTACCCCGGAGTCAGGCTCCGTCAATTGAAATCCATCTTCGACCTTCGTCGCGTTCGTCACCGTTGCATTCAGACAAAGGTACTCGTCGTTCCACGTGCCATCACTGACCGATGCGTTTGACAAAACTGCCACCAGACCCGCCGTGGGTATTGACAGGTTGGAAAAGAAAACGTCCTTTTGCGACCAAGTGCTAAGGACGGACTCGATTTCCTTCAGTTCCTCTGTCAGGCGGGAAAGTGAAATAACGCCGCCTTTATCGTTGTCCCTCCGTTGTAAAAGATGCAGATTGCCACCCGAGTACAGCAGGCTGCTGGTGAACTCCCACCTCACAGCGGTGTCAATGCCAACCGGTCCAAAATAAAACGAGCGGTTGTTGTCCGTGACCCAAAGGTAGAGCGCTCTTTCCCTTTTCTCCACCGACGCGTACCCTCTCTGAATGTACAGCATGACCTTCCTTTCCGCAATGATCGCGGTGATGAGGGCCTCCACATGCAGGCTTAAATTCTTGGAGTCTTCTGGTTGGGGTTTGGCCCACACGCCTGGAAGTATCCCGGTGGCCTCCGTCCACGCTGTCCCCATGTCACGCGACTCGTACACCCTCTGGCCATTCTCGCAGTCAACAATCATGAGAAGTGATCCCTCCCACTCGGTGATGCGGGGTGAACCGCATTTCGCAGGGGAAACACTGTTTGAGAGCGACCAGGTACTGCCGTTGTCCTTCGAGTAAATAATCATGGAGTAAACGCCATCATTTTTTTCATTCATCGCCATCAGAGAAAACACAATCGTGCCATCCTCCATCAGAACACCTGAGCCACCAGAAGCAATGAACTCCGTCAATTTTCTTCCTTGAGCAGCTAAAGTAGTCCGCTGCACCGGCGATTGAACTTCGCCCCATTTGATCCACTCACTCGGCTCGCTGTCCGCAGAAGGCTTCGTGACCTCACCAACAACCAGTTTTAGTTCCAGGCTGCCCTCTTTCCAACTCCCATTTACAGGGGACAAGGCAGTGCTTCCCACAAGAAGAAACACTCTGTTGTCCTTCATCGTTGTTGTGGGGTGGCGCACAACATCCAAACTCTCCTTTCCCCCCGCTTTACCAAGCACAGTTTGTGGCTTCCATGTATCCTTTTTGACCTTTTCAACAAGAGTGGGCCATTCCCACGCAGAGTCGATGTACTCCGCAACAACTTCTGAAGAAAAGTGCTTAATTGGTACATCATTAGTGCCATATTCGGCCATCATGCGACCTTCAGCAAAAGCAGCAATTACTCCACCAGCACTGACGAGAGAGGGTGAAACAAATGAATCCCTCCCACTTGAGCCAGTCCCCTTCTTCGGCAGCACCTGCGTCGTCTGCGGCACAAACAGATCGACCCATTGCAGCTCCTGAACACCTCTTAAATCACTGTTGCCATCATTCTCCTTTGCAGGCGTAGCTCTACAGGTGGCGCAGCACATCGTCGTGACGAGGAGCAGCAGAATCACAAAATTAAACAAATGCCGGGACATGTTGGGCCTCTTCGGCTCACTCTCTCTTCCTTCCCTCCTCCTTCCGCGGGATCCGGTCACGCGGCGACGGTTGTGTGTGCGGGGTGCCTTCACTGCAGCAACACGTGAGAGCATGTAAAATATGTGTGTGTGGTGCGGTGTGTGTGTGTGCTGTTGGTCCTTTCAAAGCCTCTGAATTTCACAGTAGCGATTAGCGCTTGTTTGCTTTCTTTCCTAGCGTGTCTGTGTTCAAGAGGTAGAGGGAAAAGGGAAAACAAGCCAAGTAAAGAGGTGAGACAGCGAGCACCGCCACTCCGCACCGGCCATCGCGGGCGTCAGGGCAGGCCGTCGGTGTGTGCGGGCCAGCCCTCAAGCGATGCAACACGCCTCACACCCAACAGGGAATTACAGACGGAGAGACAGTAAGAAATGAATGGATGCCGTCAAGAGGCACTCACGATCAACATGGCCCGGTAAGCATGCGGCCACTCCACGCAGGAACACAGGAAAAGAGGGTGAGAGGGGGGAAAAGCAAAAAGCAGCACAAACACACACAAAAGAAACAAACACTAGGCGAGAAAAGCACCGCCACGGTCATCGCCCTGGCCGGCAACTCCACACCAGCCCTCACAAACACACCATTGCAGCGCTGCCAGTCCGCGGGTGAGAAGATTCGGCCCTCCACACAACAAACGCACACACCGCCAGCCACCACCCACCAATGGACGACGAGGAGAAGAGACACACCGCCACCGCCTCCGGTTCAATCCCACGGCAACGAGATACGGCCACAGCCCGCTGCCGGCACACAACGCACACGGAGCGAGCAATCACCCAAAGAGCCACACGCGGAAGCGATTCCTCAGACAGCCATGACACGGCGCCTCA